AGGCCAGGCTCACAAGCCTCCCAGGCTGGGTCTGACTGGATGGGACTGTGGGCTTTTTTCCTTAAAACACACTCACACACGCTTGCGCGCACGCACACACACACACACACACACAGTCCCCCCCATCTCTCTCCCGCTTTCCCTCTGTAGCTGTTCTCTCACTGCTGGCCTTGTTCCCGCCAGAAAGTGCGAGGGGGGCCTCTGCCAGGACAGCCCTCGGGAGAGGAAGCAGGAGGGAGGGCCCTGCAGCCCGGCCAAAAATCCGGCCCCAGCCAAGGCCCGAGTGGCCAGGCCCCCGCCCCTCCGGCTGGGCCCCGGGCCCAGCGTGGGGACACCGGCCAGCTGTCCCGCGCCTCTGCCCCCACCCCGGCCCTCCAGACCCCCCCCCAGTACCCCCAGGTCTGGCCAGAGACGGTCCCTGCCCGAAGCTGAGGAGTTGGGGTGCTGGGCAGGTCTGGGGTCCAGGGCCTGAGGCCAACATCTGCAGAGGTTGAGGGGCTGTGAGCAGAGTGGCCTGGAAGGTGAGATCATGTTGGCGCTGCCCCGTGGGGCATCTGGGGAAAGGAAGGGGGACCCTGACACACTAGAGGGCTCCATTCTTTATAGGCTAAGGTCGTAGTCTCCTGCCTGATGCTGCAGAGGGGAGTGTTGGGCAGGTCTGGGATCCGTATCTGCAAAGGCCGAGGGGCTGCACCAGGGGAATCACCTGGGAATTGAGACCGTGTTGGCGTTGTCCCCTGGGGCGTCTGGGGGACATGGGGGAGACCCTGACACATCACAGCGATTCCATTTGTCATGGATCAAGGTCACAGTCCCACACGCAGGCCTGTGCAGACCACAGTGTCTGGTGAAGTTCAGGCAGGATCCCCAGGTGCTCTATGGGGGACCGAGGGGTTGGGGACCTCACCCGGACTGAGAGGTGGCCCAGCACCCCTTTATCACCCAGCCCCCATCTGTCTCAATGCTGAGCACTGCTAGCGCCCAGACCAGACTCCGGGAGTCCCCAGACTGCTAATTCTCTCCCAGCCCTAGGAGAACACCCGGGGCGCTGACATTCCTCTGGTGGCCAGGAGGGGGCGGCCCTGTGCTGAAACAGCTGGGACCAGCATTTCCAGGACTCCGGTGGTCCCAGCCTGCCTGAAACAGGATGAGGACCCCGGGGGATTTTTCTGGGGTCGGGTAGGGTAAGAGAGGGTCATGCCTCCCCAGCCCCCGAAAGTGGGGGAAGAAATTCGGGAGCCAGAGGATCGGGGAGGGAAATGGATACTTGCCTTCATCAGAGCCTCTGAGGGGGAAAAAGTCGAGGCCACAAGTTCTCTGAGCTTTTCCCTGCCCCCAGATGGAGAATGAGGGGGAGCCACAACCACAGTTCTGAGCAAGGGAGCTAAAGGACCCCTCCTCCAGCCAGGAGCCCCGCGGCCGTCTCGAGTTCAACAACCAGGCCATGCATTGGACTCAGGTGAACCTAGCATTAAATTCGAACTCTAGTGCTTTCTACTGGGGTAAGCTCTTTATAGAGCTTCAGTTTCATCTCACGTCAGGTGGTGATAAATATCCCTGCCTAGAAGGGTGATTGCAGAGATAAATAAAATGTGGTCATATATTTCTGTACCGTGCCTGCCAGATCCAAAATGCTCCATTCTCATTTGATGTTAGTACTAGTATTCACGCTACTATTTCTACCACTCATCCTGCAAGGACCACTCCTGTATTCAGTGTAAGTCTAAGTTCGACCCTCTGCCGGGCCACCTTGGGACCCCGGGTCATCCCTGCCTCTCCCTCTGGTCTCGGGCAGTGGCCACTCCAGGAATTTGGAAGAGGGGTGGGCACACGAAGAGAACAGGCTAGAAGCTGGTTGCCCAGTAAATGTAAGCTCTTGCTTCCAGGGTGTGTTATCTGGGGGGACTTTGGGGTAGCTGACAGAGGTTATGCGCCCAAACTGGTCTTTGTTGGTGGGGGTGGGGGCTGCTCAGGGTCGGGGTCTGGAGGCTCAGTGCCTAGGGTGAGCCTGCCTGTGGGAAGAGGAGGCCAGGGAGGGGGTGCATCTGTGTGCCTGCCCCTTCCTGGGAAGGGGGAACGGAGGGGGTGCTGGGGAGGAGCTGGGCCCCACTCCTCTTGGGGCAGTGACGTGGGCAGGAACCGGCTTTCAGACTTGCAAACCGCAGTCTGCTCAGAGTCTTTATTAATTCCAGGACCGGGAGGGAGGCTAGAGCCAGAAGGAGAGTTCTTGCTGCTCAGGGATCCAGGAGAGGTGCGGAGGGGGGCTTGCAGGGAGAGACTCCGGGCTGCTGGGCCAGACCTCTGCCTGCACGGCCAGGGCCCTGTGCTCCACCCCCACCTGGGACCCCCATTCTTCTTAGCACCCTGTGCTTGGTGCAGCAGCTCCAATAACTTGCATCCAAGACTCTGTACACCGCAAAAGGGGCCTCGGTTCTGAACCCACCCATAGAACTGAGTCTTCAGTGCAATTTAGCCCAGGGCATTCAATACGTAATGTTAAGGACCGGGGGTTACAGTTATTAGTCAACATTCGTTCATTCATTCCCTCATACATTCCAGAAACCCAGCAGTCGTCAATTGCTCTATGCCCACCTCCCTGCATAGCTGCGTAGGTTAAAGTCGTGAAGGTAGAACCGCCCACGGAGGGCTGCGTGATGCATCTCGGGCTGGGTGAGCCTGGCTTCCCAATTATCACCGACAAGCCTCCCCCGCCCACTCACTGCCGAGCATCCAGGTGAGTCACTGACAGGCCATCTCCGTCTTCCAAGTCCTCTAGGTGCACCTGTTTAGAAAGGACAGAGCCGTCGGCCCCGCTGGACTCTGAGCATCTTACTGCTTTGCCTGGAAACCCTCAATTGTCTCCCAGATAAAGTCCAGACTTCTGAGTATGGCCTTCAAGGCCCTCTATGACCCAGTTCAACGGCTCTGACACTCTCCTTCCTTTTGGCTGGCCTCCCTTCTGGCCGGTGAAGCTGTTCCCTAGCTCCCAGACTTGTCCTGGAGGGCTGGACGTTGGCAAGGCTCCCTAGTCTCAGCTTCTGTCCCTGCAGATCTGTGCCCTCGGCATCCCTGTCCCCAGCCCCTCTGAGGGGCGTTGGTGGGAGCCTTTGTGTTTGGGCTTGGCGCTTCATCTTAGGCCCCTCTGGCCTGGCCATCGCTGAGGGTATTTTGAAGATGGACCCATTTCTGTCTCCCGTGTCGTCCAAGAGCGTTGGATAATGGCACAGTTGTGCCCTCCGGGAGCTGGGGGGCAGAAGCTGCTGATGTGAACCGACCCCCGGAAGTCTGGGTGTGGTTTCTGTTTCCCCCCTGTCTACACATGGTCCTTTTGTCTGTCCAGTACTGGATGCGGCTGTCTGCATGGGACCTGGAACCAGAGAGAGAGAAAGAGAGAGACAAGCATTTGCTTTAGGGCTAGCCTGGGAAGAGCTTGGTGTGCATCGGACCTGGGACCCATGCTGTGCTCCCTCCCAGCGCCTGGGGCCCTCTGCTTTCAGTCATCTCCACCTCCGTGTGAGTAAGCGTCCTTTCAGCCAGTCCCGTAGGAAATAAAGTCAAGGTTACACTGGTAAGGAGAGCATGAATTTTTCAGATGGACCCAACTGAGGTTTGGGAAGGAACGGAATGCTGGTCGGGAGTGTGGGTCCGAGTGTAGACACTTTTGGAGAGAATCAGCAGCAGGGCCAAGTGAAGGACCCCTTCCCCTGACCCGACCCACCCTCGCTCATCGGAGAGACCCAGCTGCAGACATGAAGGCCAGAACCTGCCCCTCTTCTGATTTCAAATTTTCCAGTAGCCTCACAAAATAAAGAAAATGTAAGTAAAATTCATTCTGATCATATGCTTTATTTAACGGACTATATCTAAAATATTATCATCTGAACATGTAATTGATATAAAAGTTATGGAGATGTTCTACATTCCTTTTATTGTACCGAGTCTTAAAACTGGATGACCCAGCAATGCCACCTCTGAATATTGATCTGAAGGAAACAAGAATGCTACTTTGAAAAGACATCTGGGGGCTCCTGGGTGGCTCAGTCGTTGAGCGTCTGCCTTCGGCTCGGGTCATGAGCCCAGGGTCCTGGGATGGAGCCCTGCGTCGGGCTCCCTGCTCGGCGGGGAGTCTGCTTCTCCCTCTCCCACTCCCCCTGCTTGTGTTCCCTCTCTCACTGTGTCTCTGTCAAATAAATAAATAAAATCTTTAAAAAAAAAGAAAAGACAAGACATTGCACCCCATGTTCTTTGCAGCATTATTTACAATCTCTATGACAGAGAAGCAACCTACTGTAGCCATCAATGAGGAAGAGACAAAGAAAATGCTACACACACACACACACACACACACACACAATGGAATGTTATTCAGCCATAAAAAAGAAAGGAATTCCTGCTATTTGCAATGACATGGATGGACCTTGAGGCCGTTATGCTTAGTGAGATAAGTCAGAGAAAGACAAATACTGTATGACCTCACTTACATGTGAAATCGAAATAAATAAATAAACCCAAGCTCACAGATACAGGGGACAGAGGTGGGATGAAATGGGGGAAGGGGGTCAAACGGTACAAACTTCCAGTTCTAAGATAAATGAGCCCCGGTGACGTCACGTACGGCTCGGTCACCCCAGTTAACAATGCCGTATGGTAAATTTAGAAGTTGCTAAGAGAGCAGATCTTAAAAGTTCTCATCACGACAGAAAAGGTCATCACTATAGCCGGTGATGGATTGTTAATCCGACTTACTGTGGTGACGGCAATTTGTACAAATATCAAGTCAGCATCTTGTGCCCCTGAAACTAAAACAATGTTATATGTCAATTACACTAAAACAAACAAACAAACAAACAAACAACAAAACTGGCGTGGAAGTTACATTTAAAGCCCATCTCAGTTTAGACTGGTTGCATTTCGAGAGCTCAGTAGCCACGTGTGGCCAATGGCCACGTGGGGTGGACAACGCAGGTGAAGATCATGAGGGGACTGGTGAGGATGAGCCCGAGGGTGGCTCCCACTATTAAGATTATAGGAAGGACAGGGCATGAGGGGGAGGGAGAGGGGCAGGGAAGAAGGGACGTCCTTGAGGGCC